TTGACTGCTGGGAAATAATTTCTGGGCACCTGTTGTAAGAAATAAAGGACCATTTTGATCATTTTAATAAAATATTCCACCAGGATGCATGAGGCAGGCAGTTTGGAGAAGACCTGCAGGTTGCAGAGAAGGTGGCAGAGTGGGCAAAATGTTCTAAAATAAGCAAAGGGCATCCCTGTAACACACTGTAACTGTAGAGGAAAAATGCTGTTTCGTTCCAATACAATAGCTTCAGCACTACTCAGTGGTGGTAGGAGGTGACACAGTGTCACTTTTAGCAGAAGCGTGAGACAGATGTCTGCAGAGAGGGAAAGGTAATTCAGTCAGTGGGAGAAGGCTTCAGTCACAAAGATATTTTACAGATAAATTTAACCAGTGTCAAGGAATTGTCCAAGATGTGTTGGGTTTTGCAATATATTTCAAGGCGATTTGGGATGTGCAAAAGTGAAACCCAGGCACCTGGTCCCGCTCAGCTGGAGCCAGGTTTGCAGGCCCTGGGTTTTTCTTGTTGTTGAATGGATTGAACAAATAACCACAACCGAGAGGGAAACTTACCTCCTTCCTGCTGCCTCTAACGCCTGCTCAGTCAGTCCCTTTGATGCTGTGGCACACAGTGGGTGTGTTTGATTTTTCATTTCAGTACTGGAGCCAACCACACATCAAAACTAGGAGAAATAGAATGAAAGATGGTGTTAAAATTGTGGACTGATTGAATTGGCACCTTCTTTTCAAATAAACTCATTGCTACCCAGAAGCAGGGTGTTGTTTATGTACCAGTTAGTAATGGCCCGAGCAAGGTGACTCCTCAGCACGAGAGCTGCTGGCTCTGCCGGCACCGAAGGGAGCTGCCTGCACCCTTGTGGTGAGGGGTGTTTGGCTCATACTTCTGCATAAACATATCCAAACAAAGAAAAATGCCAGCACTATTGACAAAGCAAAGGCCAGCTCTATTTATATCTGCAGTAAGGCTGCAATAATGAACAGACACTTGAATGTGTCCTGAGGCCTAGATGAAACACTGAAAATGTTGCTTTTAAGAAAAAAAAATTATAATATCCCCTTGAAATCCCAGGGAAATGTGTGTGATGGACTTCTTGAGAGTAGTATCAAAGAAATTAAATAGGAATTGCAGAGCACAGGGAGTTATTGCAGGTACGGGCTTTGAATTGGTTTAAATCTCTGCTTTTAAGCTTTTTTCCTAAATATCTCTTTAAAAGTAACACTTTAATGAGAGAGAAAATGTTTTACTGCTGCTGAACTCTAGCAGCAGTGCAGATCTGTCAGACCTTACCTGATTTTGGAGTGTAAATCCTTTCTCTACAGTTGCTCGTGCTGCCTGGCCCCTCTCATGGTGTCAGACTCCGGGGTAGTAAAGATGCAGGCACTGGCGGGGGCTGCGAGGGATTGTGTGAGTGTCTGCAGAGCAGGACTAATGGGTGAAAAAGTTTTTTCAGCACAGGATTTATGACTTTATAGTTAGACATTTTGCTTTTCTTAAAGTCTTTTAGGGGCTTCTGGGGTTTTTTTGAGGCAATTGGAAAAAGAAAAATATTTACTCAAAATACCGTCTTCCGTTCCATCTCGTTGTGTCTTTGACCAGCTGTAATCAACTGGTTGCTTCATGTCATTGAGCAGGTGTAAAATTAGGCTCCTGGAGCAGAAAATGCACTCAAGCACATCTGAGCAGGTTTGCAGGTTTCATGGCTCCTCTGGTAGTGCTGTCCCTTTCTCTAAGAAGTCTCATCAGAAATAATTATTTTGCCCTCATTATGAATTTAGGGGAACAGCCAACCAAGCAGGATGCAATGGCCAGAGCCTGTCACCTCCCTGGTCCCCACTCCTGGGACATCCGTGGGTCCTCACCCAACTGTGCCCCAGCCAGGCTCCAGCTCCTCTGAAACCAACACATGCCCAATGCATTTAATTTTAACCTTTCCCAGTCATTCCCTGCTGTGTTCATTTCTAGCTTGCATTTTTGTCTACTTCTACAAGATCAGACTGCTATCCACATTTAGTTAATTTGATAACAGCAAGATGTTATGAAAATTCCACTTGACAGCAGAAGAGGTGGGCAGTGATCGTATAGAAATGTACTGATTTTTATTAACCACAACATCCAAAAGAGTTAAATGAAGGGAGCAAACTATAAAGCTTAGGCTATTTGTTAAAGTTGAAAAGAGATCCGTTTTTGAGTCCTGGAATTTGGTTTTTTGAAGCATGAATGCTGATATTCACCCTTTGCCCTTGGAGTAGGGAACGTGCTTTGTTTGGACCATTTGCAGCCCTGAGCGTGCTGTTGGCACTCATCAGATAACTGTTATTATTAACAATGCACAGATGTATTGGCAATTGCTTTTAGGTAGTCAGGCCAGCTGGAAAATTATGAAAGAACTTATTAAAGACAGATATTATGGTGTAAGTTAGAAGATGAAAAGGAGAAGAAATTCTGGTTTATCTGTGTAATTAAAGGCACACTCTGTAGACGAAAACAAGCAAAAGCATACACTGTGCATGCATGGTTTTTGAAAGCTAACTGCTTTAGCTTGCCGAGAGATCTAAAGTGAAACAGCAAAGCTATATTTTTACCTTCCATTTTTCCCTTAGATGCCCATTTGCAAATATAAATGTGCAGGTCTGTTTGTATTATTTATGTTAAAAGAAGATGAAGGTTGTAAGGACAAGCACCTTGAAACTAGGACACACCAGAATTGCAGTTGTCAGGCAGTCGCTGTGTTGGCCAGCCAGGCTGTTTCTGTGCCTTTCTGCTGAGGGAGATGCACAGAAGAGCAGGCACATCGGCCACGGGCAGTGCTGTGCCTTGGGCCATGGCCTGCGCTGCCACTTGTGCAGGTGCCACACAAGGATGGTGGCAGCCGCGGAGCCGGTGACAGACACCGTGTCCTGGCACCTCTGGTAGCCCTGGGTTTCCTGCGGCCACTCCAGCCTAGGAGCAGTGCTGTGGAGGTGTGAACATGCCCACCTGCATCAAAGGGGCTGTTGGAAAAGCAGGAGGCCCAGGTCGGTGTGCTCAGAGAGGGCACCTCAAGTACCTGGTGACAAAGCAGCCAGCAGCATGTTTTAGCTGCTAGCCTGTGAGTGCCTGGCCAAGAGCCCCCATGGGACATTTCTCCTTGGGCAGGACACCAGGTCCCACCGTTGGCTGGGGCTCAGAGCCACCCCTGTCCTAGCCCAGCTGTTGGAGGCTGGCAGAGGCAGTGCCGGCGCAGGGCCACGAGCGCACGCTCCCCACCATGAGCTGGGCTGCCACGTTTCCCTCGCTGCTTCACAGCCCCTGTCCTCAGCTCAGGGTATTCGGTGTTCGCTGCTGCAGGGAGAAGCCAGCAAATCCCTAGATCCTTTCTTTTACCTGTGGAAGGACCATTTCAGGCCCCACTCCCCTTCCTCCCACTGCTTCTTCACCCCTGGTGCTGGAGAAACGCAGCCATACAGCCCATCTTTAGCCAAGAAATGCTCTCAGCCAAAATCCCTTGTGCTTGTTTTTCGCACCCCAACCACCCAGCCAGCTCCTAACGAAGCTGCACTGTATTGTTGTCTCTCTGATTTCCTATTGTCACTTGGGCTGATTTTAATTGCCTTGCGTTTTCAGTTGTTTTTCAGCTCATCAGGAAGGATAATTAAAATAAAATCTTGCCCTCTGTGCTCATCTGCATCTGTCGTAGCGACGCTAGCTGAGCATGTTAATCTGAGGAATGGTGAAGGCAGGGCTTACTCCCTGTGAAATGCTTGGAGGCTGGTTGTTAAGCATTACATTATTCAAAACACATTAAATTGTCCTGAATGAGGAGGAAACATGTCTCGATCATCAAGCTGATGGACATTAACAGTCTTCTGTCACGAGTTTGTTAAATTTGAACTGGATTTAGGTACTGCCTGCCTTATTCCCATTCTGCAAGGAAAGCTGTGGAGGGGAAACTGGCAAGGAGTAGGAAGCATAAATTCAAGACACCCACAGCTTGGACCAAAAGCCTTACATATATCCTTTGGATTTCTAGACTTTAGAGAAATACAGTTGGCATCACTGCCTTCTGTCGACCAAGCAGGAAAGTTTAACCGATAGTCCAGGAGTCCTCTGAATGCCTAGGAGTCTGGAGGTGGCTTTAAGATCTGAGGGTGGTTTAAATGTTACTGATGGGGAAGAGGGAGAAGGGGAAGTAACACATTTCTCAACATTTCCAGGTTTGCAAAACCTGTATGCTGAGCTAGAGGCTGTTAGGATTGGCTTGGTCTCCAAATCGGAAAAACAGGGAAAGAAAAATCTATACATGACATGAAAGCAGTTAACCAGCAATTTTTTCAGTTTATTTCTGAAGTTTTTTTGCTATATTTTTAGGACAATGTGAAACTGAATTTTGAAAGTTTGACTATTGATTAATAAAGGATTTTGTGATTTATATCCCTCATATGAGCATCACTATTAGAAGCCACTAGAGCTGTCCTGGTCTCCTGTATCACAGACCTGCTGTTGCCACAGTGAAAAGCAAAATCCTGCCTTGCTGGGAAATTGTAATAAGCAAGTGTTGGTGTTTCCTAACTGCGAGTTAGCACAAAAAACAAGGCTGAGGCTTTATGTGAAGAAGGGAGGCTTCTTTTGCATCTGT